TCCTTATCCATCAATCAAATGCATCCTGGGCAGATTGTCGGGATTCAACGCGACGTGGGGAGTCCTTATCCATCAGTCAAATGCATCCTGGGCAGGGTGTCGGGATTGACACAGTCATGTTTCTTCTTTGCAGAGTTGTGTGTAGCGAACATGACAGCTCACACACACAATTTTTTTTGGGCAGAAGTGTTTGTATGGAGTCATGGTCACGGTATCTTCGCGAGGAGGCTCATAGACCCACGGGCTCCTCTTTTGGAGCACATGGAAGATGGAGGTGCTTCCAGGGTGCTTGAAGCAGTAGTGCTCCTGGTGTCGCGTGGAGATTCTGTGAATGTATGCTTGGAGTTCTGGCCACAGTATCTTGCCGAGGAGGCTCAGAGAGTGTTTACTGTGGGTGTCATTCCCATGGGCTGCTCTTTTGGAGCACATGGAAGAAACGGGGACTTCCAGGGTGTTTAGGCAGTAGCCCTACTGGTGTCGTGTGAAGATCTTGTGGTCTTTTTTGGATTATGGTACTCTTTACACTCCAGAGGCTAGACAGCAGATGGGGACTGTTTAGGCATGGAGTGATGGAGATAGTGGGGACATCGATGGGTCGTTTGGGAAGAATAGGAGTGGCCTCAATTTTTGTAGGCCAGAATGTTTGTTTGGAGCCATGGTCCTGGTATCTTCGCAAGGAGAGAGTCTTTGTTATGGGTGTCACTGCCACGGGCTGCTCTTTTGCAGCACATGGAAGATGGTGGGCTTCCATGGCGCTTCAAGCAGTCGTGCTCCTGGTGTTGCGTGGAGTTTCTGTGAATGTATGCTTGGAGTTCTGGCCACTGTATCTTGGCGAGGAGGCTCAAGAGAGTGTTTGCTGTGGGTGCCATTCCCATGGGCTTCTCTTTTGGAGCCCATGGAAGAAATATGGACTTCCAGTGTGTTTTAAGCAGTAGCCCTCCTGGTGTCGCCTGAAGATTTGTGGTCTTTGGGATTGTGGTATTCTATACACTCCATAGGCTAGACAGCAGATGGGGACTGTTTCGCCATGGAGTGAAAGAGATAGTGGTGACGTCGGTGGGTCGTTTGGGAAGAATAGGAGTGCCAGTGCTGCTGTGCTTGTGGGGTAACTCGGAAGGCTCTCCAAGTTTTACCAGACTATTGCTGGATCTGGTCGGTGCTCTGGTGGACCCTTCTTTGTTAGGTATGTTGCCTTCTGCAGTTTACCAATGTTTTTATAGATTGGAAAAACTACATATATTTGTGCAAGTATGCCGCTTCACCGGCAAACGTGGGGAACCTTGCACCTTCTATTATATTACTTATCTATACTGTAGTGAACCCAGTCAGGAGAGGAACTCGTCAAGTGTCGACATACAAGATGACTCAGCGCTGATAAATGTCTCCAATAATCATGAGATGTGATCTGTAATACAATGTCTCGTAACCATAGGACGAAGCTGATAGGAGGGAGAATAGACTTAGAGGTTGTGTCCTTGTAGATAGATGCCCCTCAATCCCCACTCCTCCTTCGGGCATCTCCCCACGTCCACATCAGCAAACAGTATCCCAGTAACGAGTCTGGCAAAGATCTGATCACAGCATAGTGCCACATATGCACAGATCTTCTATGAAGACGTCACTGCAATGCGCAATGTCGACAGCATCAACAGGTTTCTTTCTCTCTCACCCCTTCAATCCCACAGTTCTGGATCTCCCTCCATATCATATCCCCAATCTGTGTGGAAAACAGTATGGCATGCGCCACAACAACAATGTCAAAGACAGCGTGGCATGCGCCACGTCAGCAACCAAGAAGACAGTTGGCGCTCAGAAACAGAGGGGCGCCAGACGCAATGCAGCAGTCTCGTGTCGTCGTCGCACAATGCCAGCGTAATGCCAGCTTCAAGCCAGTGTCCAGCCAGCGTTGTCCCAGCGTTAAGCAGCAAGTGCAAGACTGAATGTTGACCTCCAGGGGCTGGGTCAATAACTAATGTTGACGCCATTGATCAGCCTCTTGTCTCTCATGTACAAAGGCTCAGATTGACTCACAGTCGACGGCCTGGATCGGGTACAGTTACAGACTTCCACTTGGACCAAATGCTGCCTGGATACCTGCATACAACCAAGTGTGTGTGTCTGATCGGTTGCCTGGACTGGGTTCGTGAAGACTTTGACTCGTGAGTCTCAATATTTCGACCTACAGTGGCTTCGGTCAATTGTCGGGCGCAGGGCCTCTGAAGCCTCGTTTCAGGGGCCTTGTTTCACACAGTCGGACGCAGGGCCTGGAGGCCGAACTGTGGCCTGCGGGTGCCCCCCTTGGCCGATGACATAGGCGTATTTGATATTGCATTCGTGCCGGCCCAATTTTCAAGTTCCGTCGCAGGAATTTCATCTTCAGACTTAATTTTTTTTTAATCCGCCCTCATATGCAGAAACAATATCAGGAGTTGTGGGTAAAAGCTCTTTCTTGCTTAACCACCGGGCTTCATACGGGGGTTGAGATTTCAACTTTACCTTGAACTGCTTTTGTGGGCTTCCTCTGCCACCTATAGAAAAGTATCCATGTTCAAGTATCTTCTCCATTGAAGGAGGAAACATGGATGGCCTGTTGGGAAAATCATGGCCTTCTACATATGGCAGTAGCTTGGAGGCATGAAAGAAGGGATATGTCTTGAGGTGTGGGGGTACATCTCTTCAGTATGATGGTCCATCAGTATCCCCTATCACCTTGAGAACTTCCCAAGGTCCGTAGTAGACAGGTAGCATTTTCTGAGATGCATTTAGGAAAATTTTTAGACCCAAACAAAATCTCCTTCTTTAAACTTTGATGGCCGACGATGTTTGTTAGCATGTTCAATCATTTGTGGTTGGGCTTTCTGAATATTTTCCTTGACTTTCTTTATGTCTTTTTTATACATAATTGCAAATTCTCGTGTTCCCAAGGATAGCCGCTGGACTCGGTCCTGTGTCAATGCATCAGTGGGACGTCGCACTTTCATCCTTAGTGAAGTGCGTTTGGTGTTTAGTTGGTGACGGTGTGAACAATGTTGTTGTATGTACTTGCAATCTTAGGCAAGTTCTCATCCCAATCTATCTGATCAGGTCGTACATACATTCACAAATGTTGTTGGCACAAACGATTCATCAGTTCATATGGCTCCAGTCTTTCTGGAAAAAGACCTTCTAAGCCTTTCACCTAAGCTGAGCAGGAAAAGCCCGAACCCAATCCCAGGGAACAGTAAAGCTTCATAGGGTCTTTCTGTCCAGCGTGAGGGAACCTTTGCACGCCTCCGTTACCCTTTGGGAGGCCTACGCCCCATAGAAACTGTCTACCTTCCACCTAAGCTGCTCAAGAAAAGCCCAAACCCAATCCCAGGGGACAGTAAAGCTTCATAGGG